CCTCTCCCCTTCCCCCTCCGAAATCGGAACAGGTAAATTCGTTTTAGTTTTAGGCTGCGGGCTACTCCCACCTGAGTTGTCATTTCCACGCCACGTTACATGCGATACGCCCCATTTATAGGACCAAAATACTCAATATAATGCCTTTTCTCTACGGGACTTAAAATGTATTATACAATTATTTTAACTATAACTACAACAACAATAAAAACAAATGTGAAAATGTACACAGCTGTGAAGAAAATATCTCGTAACGAGCCGAAAAGCTCTGAACTATTGTTATCTAATTAATTGTGGTTTTAAAAAGTTAAACTGAAATGCCAAACAAAACGCAATGTCATGTCAGATGAGACAGCTGGTGGTTGGAGGGCGCCATTGGTAGATACTACTTCTTTACTTTTCCTCCATTGTTTCTGTCTCTCTGCCTTACTTTTTCCGTGGGTGGTTGGCGGGTGGTGCTCTGGTACGGTTTGCTTCTTCTTTCCTGTCAAACATGTATCGTCCTTATCTCTCCTCCTTTTTTGTGTTTGTTACTCTCTTGTAACATTTCTAATCTTTTCACTTATATGACCTTATTGTGTTGCAAGTGCCGTTAAACACGTACTAAAACTTTCTTTTCCCATCACGAAATGGCCATATCTATTTACTCAAACAAACGTCATATGAGACCTAAGGCTAACATACAATGAACAGGATTAAGTTGAGAACGTTGATGTGATTTCCAGAACTAATTTTGATTTTGATTTTTTTCTTACCCCTTAGAGCTTCTTCATTCGATGCACCAAGGACGGCCACCCAAACTTTAGCAACCAATGCGGGGGTAAATGTGACGTGCTCAGGGGAGGCCGGGTCAAGTGCCAACACTGCCGCTTCCAGAAGTGCATCAGCGCTGGAATGTACAGAAAAGGTGATTATCCGGGAGGATTTTTGAAATTATTATTTTTTTTACACGCTTTGTGTGTGAAGAGCGGAGTCTGTGGTGTAGCGGTTTTTAGCGCTTTGCTGTCGCACGCAGAAGACGTAAGTTCGATTTTCTTGTGTGGGGATACTTTTTATTGAGTATCCCGATATTTCTGTTGGAACTGGTTCGCCCAAACAGGCAGGGTCGAAGCCTGCTTTCTGAATTATCTAAATTGTGTCGATTGGTGCATTAAAAAACTTACTTTAAAACAAAAACACTCTAATAGAAAGAAAGAATATATCATGTTGAATACCACATTTTCCTATAGCGTGTTTGGGTTCTGTGTTTTTTGCTAGACTTAGATTTATTCAATGAGAATGATAGCTTGAGGGAAATACAGTCCGAACAGACAAAATAAATGCAAGGGGATGACTGGGATTCTAGGAACGAATAGTAATGTGTAGCCATTACTTAAATTTTTTTTTTAACTGTTTGTAACTCTCAGGAGAATCACTTTTTATGTCTGTCTTTCAGAAATTGTGTACGCTTTCCTTCGTACAGATTTCACCTGCACTACGTTCTTTCTCAGCGCATTGTGTCTATCATTTATTCCAGAGAAGGTGGGTGGTTGGTGGGTGCTTTGGGTTTACTCCTTCGTTTCTATCAAACATGTATCGTCCAATTATCTCTCCCCCTTCTAATTTGCATTAGTTACTCTCTTGTAACACCTCTAATCATCGCACTTGTATGACCTGATTATGCTGCAAATGCCGTAAAACACTTTACTAAAAACTTTCCAGAGAAACCAGAAGCTGTAGAACCAGCCGAGGGTCAGTTACTGTGCAAAGTGTGTGGAGATATCGCCAACGGCGTCCACTTTGGGGTCACTACCTGTGAGGGATGTAAGGTGAGTTCATTTTAGTCTTTTTGAAATTATTTGTTGGGTTTTTGTTTTCATCTTTTGTAGGGATTCTACGCGCAGATGAATATATATTTCAACCGAGTAACCAATAGCGATTTCCGTCGTACTAAACCAGCCATAGTACATTATAGAAGTTTGGGAGATAGTTGACGCTATAACAAAGTGTGTTACGTTTGAAGTGAGCCACCCCTTACATTTTCATTGATTCCAAAAGTGTTTACCATGTCTTTCCTTTGGAGCATGTCAAGGAAATCAAGATCTTTACGGAGGGGAGTGGTACTTGGGCAATTTGCTTCCTCAGTGCCGGCCACCCAGGCAAAACTGTATCATGCATACAATCAAGAGGCAAAAAGCTATACATGTTTGTAGATGTAGGTATGGATGGATTTACAGGTGATGGGAGAGTTTGTGGGTGATTTTGAGGACGTAGTTAACAAGTCCTGCGCTCTCGCTATTACTCTTACTTCCTTAATTTTTTTGGAAAATGTATATATTATGGTAGTGGGACACACCTTGTTCAGTTATTATCATGATGCACTACGATGCGAATGGTCTTGGTTCAAATCCCAGTCAGGACATTCTTGAACTGTGGCTGCTTATAGAGTTAAAGAGATTTCAAGGCTCTGTACACACTTGTCCTAGTCTTTTCAGAGATGGCGATTGAATTTGGAGAGAGAGAGAGAGAGAGAGAGAGAGAGAGAGAGAGAGAGAGAGAGAGAG